AAAAAGATGGACATTGTATGTCTTAATATGCTCAGGCTGCCATAACAAAATGTGATAGACTAGGTGGCTTCAACAACAGACATCTATTTCTTAGAGTTCTGGAGGATGAGAAGTCTTAGATCAGAGTTGCCAGCATAGCTGGTTGGGCTCTGGTGAGTACCTTCTTCCTGTCTTGCTGATAGTGGCCTTCTTGCAATATCTTCACATGGTGGAGAAAAGAAAGCTCTATGGTCCTCTCTTATAAGGGTACTAATGAGGACTCCACCCTCATGACTTCATCGAAACCTGCTTACCTCCCAAAGGCCAAAATACCTTCCTCCTCTAAATACCATCATATTAGGGTTAAAGAAGTCTTTCTTCTCTAACATACGAATTTCGGTGGGGGAGAGGTTACACAAACATTAATTCCATAATAGTACATATTAATAAAAACATAATCCATCAAGAAATGACAATTATAAACATACACATAATTAACAACTATGTGAAGTTGTAAAGTATGTGAAGCAAAAACTGAAAAATGGAAGGAAAAATGATAGTTTCACAATAATAGAGACTTCAATATCCCCAGTTTCAACAGTGGGTTGAACAACGATGCAGAAGTCAATAAAGAAATATAGGACTTGAACAACACTATCAATGAACTAGACCTAACAGACAGATATATATATACATACATAACACTCCACCCCACAACAATATAATAGATATTCTTCTCAAGTATACATTAAGATTCTCCAGGATGAGCCAAATGTTATGCTACTAAACAAGACTCAATAAATTTAAAAATATTAAAAATCATACAAAGAATCTTCTCCAGTAACTAAATGAAACTAGAATCATAAGAGAAGGAAAAAAACATCATATTCATGTTGCCAGACTGAGAATACACCCCTCTGAACATCCCTCTCAATTTAGCAAGTGTTAGAGCAAAAAAAGGTAAAAGTTAAAAAAGCGATTTCACATTTAAGGATAAGAGCTTGACTAGGCTTGAAAATTGACTACAATGTTACAGTTGTTTCAGTGGTAAATATAAGAACGGGTAAATGAAAACTTCCATTTCATGTATCACATAGCCACAGATTCCTACATGAGCAGAGAGACTGGCAGGAGCTCAGGACACCCTCAACCTGTTTTTCTTTTCTTTCACTTAATTTGCCAGAAAAAATGTCCATTTTTAGACGTGTACTAGCTAAAAAAGTTCAAAAGGCAAACACAGAAGTTCTTTTCTTGGAAACGTTTTAAGGTCATTAGTTTACAGAAAACTTGTAACATAAGGCAGAGTAATCATACCATTTCCATTTTATTTTGTAGATAAACATAGATGTGACTTATATAAAGCTACATACCTCATTAGAGATGGTTAGAGCAGGATGGCAAACTATAGCCCCCAGGACAAATCTGGCCTGCTGCTTGTTTCTGAAAATAATATTTAATTGTAACATATAGCAATGCTCACCCATTTGCATATTGTTTATGGCTACTTTCACACTAAAACAGCAGAGTTGAGTAGTTGCCACAGAGAATCTGGCCCAAAAAGCATGAAGTATTTGCTATCTGGCCCTTTAAGAAAAAGCTTGCCAATCCTTGCTAGAGAATCAAAACGCAGTGGGCTATTTATAATACTACTTATTCTAATGCTTCTTGTCTCAGAAATAATGTGACTCAAGGAACATGATGTAGTCAAGAGAATACAGTGTTTTAAGAGACAAAAATAAAAACAAAACAAATTAAAGATTATTTTTCTGGTTGTGCCATTAACTGTGTCACACTGAGACAGTCACTTTACCTCTTCTCTCTGTTTCTATACCTGTAAAATAAGAGATTGGGGCTACGTAGCAATGTTAATATTTCTCCAATCAAACTATTATAGTCTACACAACTCAGGTTACAAATTAAGAAGCAGTAGTGAAGGCATAAAAATTCTTAAATTGTGGTATTTTATTTTTTATTTCTCCAGGTGGACAAAAAAGCACTAAGGTGTTCTACATCTCTTTATCATCACAACCATTTTAAAAATAGTATTATCCCAATTTTATAGGTGAGGAAACTGAGGCTCCAAAAAGGACAGTGTCTTACAAAAGGTCACCTGTGACAAGGAAAAATTCTGAACTGTCCTAAATTAAGTGACATAAGGGCCAGAGAATGAGGGGGAGAGAACAAGAGAAGGTCATCAGTCAACAGCTGCACGATGTAGCTAACCTGAAATTTCACATTCTGAGATGAAGTCATTTCAACAATATTCTAGTAGGTCCCCAGGACCACCTCATCCCCCGTGCACATGACCAGTGTCTGACCATCATCAACAACCAATCTTCTCTATGGACTAACCACCTATCCCCAGACTTTCCCTGCTTCACATTAGCCTGCCTTTCTTATCTATAGCCAAAGTGAATTTAGAGTAGTTTTTTTCCTGTGATTAATACTGTATTGCATATCTGAAAGTTGCTAAGAGAGTAAATCTTAAAAGTTCTCATCACAAGAAAAAAAATGTTTGCAACTCTGTATGATGATGGGTGTTAACTAGACTTATTGTGGTGATCATTTCACAGTATATACAAATATCAAATCATTATATTGTACACCTGAAACTAAAATAAATGTGAGGGAAAAGAACTTTTTCTTTAAGACCCCTCATAAATGTTCTGTTTCTTGAATCTGGTGGATAAGTTGTCTCTGTTAACTTAACTAGCCTTGCTGCTGGTGAAGCAGAAACTTTCCATCCCAAGATGCAGTCCTTATTCTGGCTAGCACCTGTAAAGGTTCAATAAACCATTTTATTTCAGAAATCTCTTGGGTCTCTAGAGTTTTGGATATATCACCAGCATAGGCTTAATGTTTCACTGTCTAGTGTGTTACCAACATAGCATGTACAAAATCTAGCACCGTGAATATAAAGTGTACAGAGCAAGGCAGATAATACAAATGCTGGGTGGTTCTGTGGTGAACCAAAGACTGAACGTCCCATTTTAAGGGAGCACCCACCAGCTAGGGCCAGGTGCTGAAATATAGGCATGTGGGTCCAATATTGCCAATCTTTAGATTTTATAAGAGAGGCTGATATCTCAAATTTTATTTTAAATATTTCAATTTTTAAATGCTGGCAACTGATTCAAATGTTTAAAAAACAGAGTGGGCTGGATTTGGCCCACAAGACAAAACTTTGCAAATCTGTACTAAACAAACTTTTTTAAATCGACACATTAATGAGTTAAGAATGCAGACATTCCCCAACTGATGATGGTTCAACCTACGATTTTTCGACTTTACAATGGTATGAAAGTGATATGCATTCAGTAGAAACTGTACTTTGAATTTTTAATCTTTATCTTTTCCCAAGCTAGAGATACGTAGGTACAATTTCTCTAGTGATGCTGGGCAGTGACAGTCAGCTCCCTGATCACAAAGGTAAACAACTGATACAAACAACCATTCTGTTTTTCACTTTCAGTACAGTAGTCAGTAAATTACATGTGATATGCAATATTTCATTACAAAATAGGTTTTATATTAGATGATTCTGCCCAACTATAGGCTGCTGTAAGTGTTCTGAGCACATCTGAGGTAGGCTAAGCTAAGTTATGCTGTTTGGCAGGTTAGGTGTATTAAATGCATTTTTGACTTATGGTATCTTTAACATACAACAGGTTTATCTGGATGTAACCCATCATAAGTTGAGAAAGATCTGTACACTGATACCTCAACTTTGGTATAAATTCTTAATTAAGCAAAGTAATAGGGGCTAGGGAGAAATCTTAACATCAACATTAATTTCCCATTGAATATTCTATCAGAAGTGCTCATAGTAAAATCACACGATTAAAAAAGTTGCTTCTATTTCAGGACCTGTGGTGAAGGTACTAATAAATAAGTAAATAGGACATCCGAAAAAATGATGGATCCTGGATAATATTAAAACCAAAAAAACTGTTGAGTAATTAAAATTGGCTATATTTGTGTAATGGAAAATCCAAATGATAGTTAAGTTACATTGGCTTTAAAAATAATGGAGATGGATAGGAGTTACTGATTTGTAACTTTTAAAAGGTATTACAACTAAGGAAAGAAATTTATGTTGTCGATTTCTTTTAAGTCATACAGAGCCATATGAGAATACTGTACATGCTTTGACAAACAATAAACTAAGTTCTAAATAAAGTAAAGCTCTGACCTACTGGTAGTTACCAAAGGAATCAATAAAATGTTTAACATTTCCATTAAAAAAGCCATAGGAGTGGCAATATTTTATTATTTGTCTTTTTGAAGTAGACAAAAAGGAGGGCAGGAGGAAAATGGAGAGGAATATAAATGAGTATTTCTTGGGAATATTTTTGGCCTTTACAGAACTATTAATTATACCTCTACAACATGCTGTGATTTTGAATACAGTTCAGTAGACTAATTATTATGTAAAAGTTTAAAATTATTATGTAAAAGTGAAATCATCAATGTGGTACAGGGAAAAGAACTTTAGGTAAAATGAATTAACTTTCCTCATTGGCTTCAATTCAAAAATTCTAAGAAATCTTCCCACTGAATGAAAAAAAAACATTCCAAAGGCTAAAATAAAATTTAAAAAAAGATGAGATTAGGATAGTCATAAATCCATGACTTGACTAGTAATGTCATGTTAGAAAGTTTCAACGTGTTCAAAACTAAGCAGGATTTCCCTCCCAACTTTGTACAGTACTCTCACTCTGCCTTTCTTCAGATGAGAAGAAACTGTTCCATCTACATTATAGATTGAAAATCACAGCTTCAGGTTTTGTAAAAAGAATAAGTAGCCCAGTTACATTTATATGTACTTAAGTACTCCATTATATTGCACTTATTTAAAATGATGGGGACCCCTATTAAGTGCTAAAGTGTTGATAAAAGCTGGACAAAAGACTTAACCTCTTTGTCCCCAAGTTTCTTTTTATCTAGAATGATAGCATTGTTATGAGAATTAAATAAATAATGCAAGTTAACTATTATTATGCAATAAAATGGTTACTCACTCTTTTGTTGAGACAAATAACAGGCCACAGGCTGCAACCTAGTGTGCAACAGCAGCAGAGACAACCACACAGCAGCCATTTCACATTGACTGGGAGAGCGTTTTTCAAACATGCATTCACATGGCCAATGCTGGTCTTAAATTCTTCCGGGGCCACCTACAACAAAGGCATAGTCTTTAACAGTTTGTGGGAAGCTTTCCATTATTTATCTCTAAACCGAAAGAAAACGTTTGTCTTATTATAAATACTTCAAATAATTACATGTCTAAATGTACTTCCTCCCTACACACACACACAGACACACACACACACACACACACACTCAGGTGATACTAGAAAGCAAAAGGATATAATTTCATGTTTACAGAATTTATTATGATGTTTAAAAACAATCTTCTGAAATTACCAATAATAAAATGGGTGGTAAAAGACAACTGTCAAGCAGTATTCTTACCAAATATATTCACTATTAAGGTAATATTATTTATGGTCTCCAGTTTAACTAAAAGTTGGTTAAGACTAGAATCTTCATCTAACAGTAGAAACCTAAATAATACCACAGGAAATGGAATTAAAATTAGACCTTGGAAATATTCCTGGATTACTTTTAAAAAGGCAACTCTCAAACCTTTTCTCCCTGTCAAATTTGCAACATAGCAAAATCTTAACACTTGCCATTGTTTGTAGGGAAAAGCTACACTGACAAAAGCCAGTGAGGAGAAATTATACTCAAAAGATGGTCTTAATATTCAGCAAAAAATGGACTCATAACTGCTGTAAATTTTGAAAGTTGCAAGTCCTTAAGTATACAAATTTAATATTTTTAATTACTACCTCCATTCCTGGAAGTGGCTGCTTGTGCCTCTCTGTAAACAATGACAAAAGTCAGTTCAAAGGCAAGAGCATGACAGGCATAATTAAATTTATACTGAAAATTCTGCTTGAAGGTTATACAACTCAAAGGTACACTAAAAAATAGTTTACTTTTAGTGAAATCACATTTCCGGATCACAAAAATTATTCTTTCATTTATAAAGCTGTCAGAGTGCAAAATCCATGGGAAAAAACTTCAGTGTCGGTCATACAAAAATTATGAAATTGTTAGGAATAATAAACTGCTGTAAAATAAAAACCCTGTTGCATATTTTGTATAAAAAATATGGAGCTCTACAACTCTTCCAAGTGAAAATTGTACCAGATGAATCAATTTATTACATTTTTGCTACAAAACACATATCTATTAGCAGACGTTAGACATATGATCACATAATTCAACACCATCAGGACTAAAACATTAAGTAATTATATTAGCCTTATTAGAATTGTTCATAGCATCTAGTAAGGTTAATTGCATAGCCCATAAATTTGTCTGTCTTCCTCATATGTTAGAGAAAAACAGTTGTGAAACCGGAAGGCTCTAAACAGTACTCAACGTGGTGAAAGTAAACTAATTTCATTCTCCATCTAAATAAAATCAGTCAATGATTGCTGGGGGCAATATGACCTAAAAACAATCACTGAGTAAAAAGAATTCCAATTAAATTACTACATTTGTGGGGTAAATATGAAAGTAAACTCAGGGAACCATGCCCTATAACTGAAAACAGTAAACGTTATCAGGCTAACCACAGTTCAAAATAAATCAAGATTTGGATTCTAGTTATATTAATATTTAATATTTTCATAATAACTGAAAAATCCTAGGCAAATTCATGTAATTTTTCTGAGTTTCAGTTTCCCATCTATAAAATGAGGATAACCTTTGCTTTATATACCTCACAGGTAATGGAAATTATGCTTTAAAAAGAACCTTCTGACTGGAATGCCTTGAAAAAGTCAGTCACTGAATCATCTCTCCGACTAGATTTGGAGAAAAGATAACGCTCTCTTTTGCAAGGAGTCTCACCTGAAGGCAAGAGGTTTGATCAGGTAATAATAAGCCACAACTTTGCTACACATTCTATTATGAACAAAAGGACAATCTGTTACATTTTGAATGCAAATTCAAAGTGCTCCTCAGTTCTTTAATTCTTCCGAGACAAAAAGACGTTCTTTTTAAAAATAAAGTGCCAAGTTGCTGTCTTAAGATTTACCTCCCATTATTCAACTTTTTTCCTGGCGAATCACTGACTGAACAAACAAGTCAAAATAAGGAAAATATATATTTAGCTTTACGTTACTATCAATTTTCTTTAAATTGTGTATCCAGACAACACATTTTTAAAACATGGAAAATTTTGAAATAAAGTCCTTTAAATCATAAAATTACTAAATCTGTCCATTTATAAGTTTGTGCTTGTAATTAGAATTAGAATTTTTATTTAGGAAGTATAGTTTTTAAACTTTTTATTTAAATGACTTAAAAAGATGTAAGAGTGAAGCTAAAGCCAGAAACCAATCAGTCCAAAAAGTAGAACATAACTTTTGTTTAAAACATTGTGAATGAAGTAAATTATATGCCAAGGAATACAAAATCTGTTATAGAATTTGTCTTTCACTACATGCTTTTGGAAATGAATTAACAGAAACATTTCTAAAATGTGGCAATTTTCCTTCTTCCTTACCAATATTCTCTACTTTTAACACACAGTAGTCTCAATCTGTACTCTCCTACCATGAGCAAAAAATATTCAAGTTACTAAAAATGAGAATTCAGATTTTTGAAGTCATAATAAACACATCAAAAAGAAACCTTTTTCTAGAGTTTCCAACAATAAAGTAAAATCTGCATTTTGACTTTTAAAGGAGGCTAGGATTGTCTTTGAAAAAAATCTGTATTTGAATAACAGTAAAGTCATAAAACAGAAATAAAGACATAGGAAATGAGAACTGGTTAACTCCCGATTTTAAACAATGTGAAAGAAACATTTAGTTAACTGTGTGGAATCAGAGTTAATAACATTTTACTCATTTACTTCCATATAATTGAGTATCTCTAGTAATGAAGGTTAGATAGAAGCCCTTTACTTTCTAGCTGAATGGCAGGTTATAAAGAAACAGTCAATTCCTTTTGACTTTCTTGGAAAGAAAAAAGAAAACCACATCATAGAGGTGGGGTAATAGGTCATACTATTTTATGACAGGATACAAGAGACTCTGCAAACTGAAGAAAATCCAAGCAAAACCCAGCAGGACTGATTGGCCTTCTTCAATCATGGGGAACACAACCCTATCAATCATTTGTCATGTTGGATCACAGCAGTAAAGGTCGATTTTATGGCTTACGGTTCCTAACACTGAACGCTAATTTCCCCATAACACCATTTAATTGTTTCAAACTGAATGCTGGAAGCTTTTATTTCTTTACTAAAGTTCTGTGGTTCTTTCATTTTCTGTTCACCAGAATCTGTGCGTATACACCTGCTTGCTATGTCCTATCATGACAGGAGGAGTTACCTTTAGTGAAATGGGGAAACAACATTTTCTGTACTTTACAAAATTATCTTTTTGTTTTCAAAGCATTAACACGTAATAAGTACAAAACTATTATTGAGCCACAGAACTTGTCAAAATGGGTTTTTAGGTTTTCACAATTCACTCCGTGCAATTTTAGGTATAAAAGCTATTCAGAATACCATTAATGTGAGAAGACTAATTTTGTAAAAGGTAGATTTATTTTTCCATTTTAGCTACTGCATTTATTCATTTTTTTAAATTTTTACACAAAGGTTGGAATTTGGACCTTTTTTTCCTTTTCTTTCTTTTTTTCTGGCATGTAAATTCTTTTTGCCTCTTCCCGCAGTTATCAGAGAAGCATTTTGATAATACTAAGTAACCTATACAAATGAAAAAGTGCCTACTGCAGAAAAATTATCTCACTAAAGAGAAAATAAATAAGGGTAATGTTACCACTATGTGACTTAAAAACCAGACTTCCAGAATTCCTTTGAGTATTTTTTCATCACCAAACACTAAGCTAAGAAACATTACAGTATCACTTATGCCTTCTCTAACTAATATATGAGAAATTTCGTTCTCTTTAAATAATGTACACTAGAATAAATATCCAGCCATTATATGTGTTACAAAACAAAGGATCACTGGAAAAGAATGGATTTCTTTAAGAACAGCTCATATCCTGATCATTTAGGTTGTGTGAATACATACCAAAAGCAGCTTAACTAGCACTCATCTAGTTTAAAAAACTGTACTATCTTTTGGGCTGACAGAAGTTTTAATTTCAGAAGAGTTGGAAAGAAATAAAGAGGTGTGAAGAAGTATTCTGAAGGTTCCTTGGGCACATAAAATTGGCGTATTTCAGAGACAGATAATTCTTGTGCCTGGGGACTCTATTCTCTGACATAGTTTTTGTCAATTTACTTTCTAGAATCCTTGGACTTGTAATTCAGATTTTTTAAAAACTAAACCAGTAATAAAGCTGGATGTAACTGTCCAGACAATACATGCAGCAGCATCAAGGGAAACATGAATATATTTTCCACTGTATAGATGTTTTAACTCACATTCTTTTTAATTATAATATTGAATTTGCTATCTTTCCACAAACATATTACTATTCAAGAGACTTTTCCATAGCTTATTTTTTTTCATTTGGAGAAAACATTTATGATTAATTCATATAAAACAAATTTAATTCTGAACTGCTGCTTCAATTGGTGAATTATTCTCAATGATCAGGATAGGAAGGTAGAACATACTAGTCAGTGATGCCAGAATCTCACTTCAAAGAGATCTCTGTATCCTAGGGAGTTAAATAGTCACATATTTTATAATGTTAACTTAGCCAGAGACTATCTTCACTTGCTTATTATTACCTCAGGACAGACAGAAAAGATCAGTAACCAAGAGCACAAATTATTGTTGGGAACACAGAATACACCATTACTCAGATGAAGAATGTAAAAGTAGCAAAAGCAATTAAAAATTGAAAGCTGTTGAGTACAGAAAATTGAAAAACAATCAAGGTGAAACTGGATACACTGATGAAGAATGGTCAACAGCAACCACAAACTTATACTGGAAAGCTAACAAGAACCTGACAATATGCTAGGAGTTTTATTTATGGCTCTCATTTAATCCTTACAACAAGAAATGAGGTACTATCATCACCATCATCTCTATTTTTCACATAAGAACTGAGGCTCACAGAAGTGGCTTGCCCAAGGTCACAATGCCAGTAAGTGACTTATCTTGTATTCCAACACAGATCTGACTTCAAAGCTTGACTACTCTATATACCATCTCTGGCTAGCTCCCATTCTTCAGAGGGAAAATTAAACAAATAAAGCATAAAATACCTTTCAGGGTTAAACTGTATAGGATTTCTTATGCTCTCACAGATAACCCTAGAAGAAAGAAATAGGTTTACTGTCTTTTTCTCTTTCCCCTGTCAGATAATGAGGGTGGAGAAAAGATTGGGATTAGGTCAAAAGTGAAGAGAGTAAGCAGCTAGAAAATGTATCATAACAAAAAATTTTGGAGCCAATATTAGTACAAGTATCTTATCCATTCTCAAGTTTAAAATGAGAGGACAAATTAAAAGTAAATTAAAGCTTGAATAGGTAATATAGTCACATGGTTCAAAAATCAAAACAACACTAAAAGATAATCAGAAAATGCTCTCATCCTTACCCTGGCCTCCATCCATCCCATTCCCCTTATCCCATCAAGGTAATCACTTCTATTAGTTTCATATGTATCCTTCTAGAATTTTTTATACAATTATTAATGTGCTGATTTCTCCCCTTTATTACACATACACACTGATTTGCACCTTGCTTTTTCACTAAATAAGATAAATTAATACTAAAATAACATAAAAGTCCTTTAAAGAATGGAATCATTTTAAAATATGACCAAAATCCATACTGACAAATAGCATTATTCTAGTAATAAAATTAAACATAATTATATTAAATTATAGGCTTCAAAGTACCAAAACTTAACTTCTTTCAATCCCAAATCATCATTTCAGCTATTGAACCGTTTGGAAACTTCTGAGTATTTTGTACTATAATGGCTTTTCTCTTTCTTCTTCTGTATTTCCTCAAGTAACAAACATGTGTAAATGACTTTGTGGCTTAGAGCCTTTTCCTTTGGGCCTAGAAATTAGCATTACTGTTATAAGAGGATTTTCCAATAGTTTTAAATTCTAGGAAGTCTTTGAATATTGAGCCTCAATGCCAGAAGATACTCATTAGAATAACCAGAGAACAATAAGGTAGTAATAATTTATTCCAATTTTAGAAACTCAAATGATCTAAAAGGCAGAAAATGTCTAACCCAAATTTGATTCTTTTGATGTACAAATCATACCACCAGGATGCTTTAAAAATAACTGACACAAAGTTACAATGGTACAATGGTACTTTGTTAACTCTACACATTGGAATTACTGAACTAAATGAAAACAATTATAAATACCAGTGCTGAGAAAAAAGACAAAACTGGAAAAACTAAACAGGTTAGTAAATAGAGGCTGGCATTAACGGACAGACAATAAACAAAATAACTGGTTACAGGCTAGTAGTCATGGAGATAGCTTTCAGTCACTAATGACAAAGCCTTCAAGTACCCTGGCCTCTTGTTATTAGACTTCACTACCAGTGAGTCAGAGCACTTGTTATAAATAAACCATACATAGAACAATGCTTTTAAAACAAAAGTTCAAAGCAAATTCCCACTTACCTTCCCTGTTAGAACTGAGGGAAATTCAGTATCAAACTTGTTGCTCAAGCCAAACCTTAAAAACAAAGACAGGACAACATATATTCTACCCAGCATATTTAACTCCTCCCCTTTTAAAAAATTACAAACCCATTCATTTTTCTTTTGACACATGGTTTAAAAGTTTGTCCTAAAAATAATTTTATGGTATTTATAGAATATAAATAACTGACTATTAACCCAAATTATTAGTCAAAGAAATTTGAGAGATCATTAAACTAGGATTCTAACAAGATCCACAACATGGGATTTTAAAATAAAAAATTAACACTGATACAGAGCTGGAAATATTACAATTTTTGACTGAAATATTTCTTTTAAAAACTATTTTAGTTGGTAACTTGGAACTGCTTGAAGGGTAGTATGTAAGAGTAGATATAATACTTTTCTTTCTACTTTTTTGTGTATGTGAAAAGTTATTATTTGTTATTTGAGTATCGTTGATATATAACCTTATATTGGTTTCAAATGTACAACACAGTGGGTCAACAGTTACCCATATTACTAAATCCTCACACCTCTAGTGCGGTTACTATCGGTCAACATAGGAAGATGTTACAAAATCACTGACTATATTCTCCATGCTGCATTTCCATTCCCGTGACCAACTTATATTATGACTGCAAATTATTGTGCCCTTTTATGCCCTCACCCTCCCCACCCACTCATACCAACCCTGCCCCATGGTAACCACTAGTCATTTCTTAGTATCTAAGAGTCTACTGCTGTTTTGTTCCTTCTGTTTTGCTGTTTTCATATTCCACAAGAAAGTGAAATCATGGCACTTGTCATTCTCCACCTGGTTTATTTCAGTGAGCATGACATCCTCCAGGTGCATCCATGTTATTACAAATGACAGGATTTGTTCTTTTTATGGCTGAATAGTCCATTGTGTATATGTGCCACTTCTTTATCCATTCATTTATTGGTGGACACTTAGTTTGCTTCCCTATCTTGGCTATTCCAAATAATGCAGCAATAAACATAGGAATGCATAGATCTTTTTGAATCAACGGATTTTGTTTTCTTCAGGTAAATTCCTAGAAGCGAAATTACTGGGTTGAATGGTATTTCTATTTTTAGCTTTTTGAGGAACCTCCGTACTACTTTCCACAGTGGCTGTACCAATTTACATTCCCACCAATAGTATAGGAGGGTTCCCACCTCTCCACATCCTTGCCAACACTTGTTATTTCTGGTCTTTTGCATAGTGGCCATTCTGATTGGTGTGAGGTGGTATCTCATTGTGCTTTTGATTTGCATTTCCCTGATGACTAGCAATGTGGAGCATCTTTTCATGTGCCTATTGGTCATCTGTATTTCTTTTCTGGAGAAATGTCTGTTCATATCCTCTGCCCATTTTTTAATCAGGTTGTTTTTGTGGTTGTTGAGGTATATGAGTTCTTTATATATTTTGGATGTTAACCCCTCATCAGATGAGTCACTTACAAATATATTCTCCCATATTGTAGGATGCCTTTTTGTTCTGCTGATGGTGTCATTTGCTGTACAGAAGCTTTTTAGGTTGATATAGTCCCACTTGTTCATTTTTTATATTGTTTCCCTTGCTTGAGGAGACGTGTCCAGGAAAAAATTGCTCACACTTATGTTCAAGAGATTTTTGCCTATGTTTTCTTCTAAGAGTGAAAATCTTCCTAATAAAAACTAATATAATGTTCTGAACTATAGTTTTACAATTTATGATTAGTTACTATCAGAGACTTAAAGGTAGTCCTTATGAATAGTTTTTATGTACATGCCCAACCAACTTTCAGAAAACAGATCCCAGCCTTGAAAGCTCTAACTCTCTTCAAGTATGCTTACTGAAATCTGTAGTAAGAAGTCAAGGTGAATTTTGTAAGTCTTCATTCACCTACTTGTTAATTTCAGTAGGGATAACAATGATCACTTCCTGCATATTAGATGACATGTGACTACAATTTTATGTTAGTAGATGGTGGGTTCCAAGCAAAAGGGAAAAGACACTTTTATTGAGCACTTCTTGTGAAGTAGGAAATAACAGTAAGATACCAGTAAGTACTTAACAACGGGCTAGATGCTGTGCTAGATAAATACAATTACTTGTAAACTTTGAATGCTGCAAGAGTAGTACAGTAATCCCCATTTTACAGACAAGGAAGCTGATACTCAGAAAAATATTTTTTCCAAAAAGTAATTAATTGTCTTGCCCAAAGAAATATATCTAATAAGGGGAACAGGGGGACCAAAATTCAAATGCTGATCCCGAGGTTCTTTCTATGTTATATTAAGTTCCTCAAGAACAGAAACTATGGCTTATTCATTTTGCTATCTTCCATTATGCTTATTTAGTAGACGTTTAATAAAAGTTTGTTGAATAATAAGCTGTGTAATGTGTGATTCAACTGATTTTGGCATTTTAGACTTAGGTAACTTTAAAGACATGTTGAGAATCCAATGTCCTATTAAAACCTTAGGTGGGAATATCCTTGTATATCATTTATGCTAATAGCTCCTCTAGGACACAAGCCAGTCTTAAACACAACGACTCTCTATACCTAGCAGCTAGCAGCACAGTACACATCTGTGCATACATATACTATACTTTGTATGTTTAAGATATATTTTAAAACAATAAATTATATATTCTAAAATAGTTGATAAAATTAATTAGCAATTGTAAAAAGACCTTAACTTCATTTAAAAAATACTTCACTACTTTTCCAAGTGTCAATACCACATGTAATGAGAACATAATATATTCTCATAATAACATAGCCTTTAAATCTATACATTGACACAGGAGTATAGCCAAACTTAAAAACAAGATGGTATACCCAGTACATGAATTTTTATGGCAACTTTCATGTACTGTTTGAGAAACTGATACTTTATTATTAAAATTATTTGTAATTGTGTACTAATTCAGCAATGAATAACATGACAAATATTTAATAGAGCAAGAAACATTTCATTTAAATCATATTTAGCTAAATAGTGACTATCACTAGTCAAAAAAGATATAATTTAATTCATTATTCCACAAAGAGTCTGTTCTTATTGTGTAACACAGAAAGAGATACAGGTTTTATTTTTAGAAAACAGACATGATACATTTTAAAGTAGAGCTCTATTTCCTTATCTTGTCTACAATGTCTTTAGATAAAATGTTAATAACATGTTCCTACCTCCATAGAAATTGCTGCCATTACAGCTTTTCCTAGCTGCTACTCTTTTACTAGATAGAAAATAGGTAGAAGACATAGACAGATCTATTCCTCAAAATGTATGGAATATTTCCATTATTTAAAAAACTCTTAGCTTTGATATTCTTTGAATTTATCACCAGACAAATGAACTTTCCTTTCTACTGCTTCTGTATCCTTAATATCCCCTCCTTTATTAACCTTTTGAAACTTGACTTCAGATATTGTTACTTTACTGAAAATAATCTTATTCAGTGAATTTATTTAGAAAGACAAGTTCATCTTGTCTTACTGCCAAATCCAATGTTCTCTTCTCAGAACTTTTCCCCTTGAATTTGCATGTGATACTGATCACTCTGTTCTGAACAATCTCCCATTCTTTCACTCACCCCTTAATCCTCCCCTAAAAATCTTTCCCAAAATTTAGCTTTTAGTCATTTGCTTCTCTAAGGGAACTTTAACACTGCATCTACATTTAACACCTTTGACAATCACTTGCATGCTGATGACCGTTAAATCTATATTTCTAGCTCTATAGTTTCCAACATGTTCTAGTTTCTCATCCCTAATTGCATACTGAAAATTTCCACTTGAACATCTTGCTACAAAATAGTAACACCTCAAGTGAAACATGTCTAAAATTAAATGTTACCTTTTTATTGGAAATCGGCTCCCCATTTCAAATTCCTTTTCTCTTATCAATGGAACACTGACTCTCTTTATCCTAGGCCTTAGTATTGTTTTTGCACATTCCCTCTCCTATTTTTTGCACCTTGGTCCAAATTCCTGTCACCTGTTCCTTTTAAATCATTCTTATAATGATTCCTTCCTTTCCATTCCTACTGCCATGCTGGCTCTTGTCTTTGAGTGGTTCCTCTTGCTTCCTCTCTTTAGTTTAAATCCTATGCAAGCTCCAGTTAAATTCCAATCCCTGCTTGTAATGCCTCCAATGCTCAAACCTTCACAGGTTCCTGCTTTCTCTGAACACTCCTGGCTACTTCTAATCTGTACTATACAATTCAAGAGTTGATAAAATATTTTCTTTTATTCTTTGCTGCTCCATGTCAACAATTTAAAGGCAAATTTCCTGTTAGTTTTGTAAAGCAAGGTCTGTACTTTTTTCTATATTCTTACAGCACATAGTCCAGTGCTTAAGTTCTCAAGAACTACTTGCTGTATTCACATTACTAATTTTCTTCTGTATTATAAAAAGAGATTATCTCTTCTTAAATATAAAACGTGTAATAGAAATGGTAAGGAAAGTGTCATTTTACTTCTTAAAATGCTCCTTTTTGGCCTATATATATCTACGTAAAGATAGCAAAGTAATAAAGATAAGCAAATTAGGCCTATTATGCACTCATAATTTTGACTAAAAGGCAGTGGCAACTGTATTTATTTGTCAAGTGTCTTCAAAGCCCCAAATTTTAATTTCTTGGACAATTCTTTGGAGTAAAGTAAATTGAGGCAAAGAAGGGTGGGTCCTCTTAGTTGCCCTCACCTCTTCTTTCCCTCCATACATTCCTCACTGTTTTTAATACTTTTGAAATAGTTATACATCAGCCTTTGAAAACCTTGTATAAATTAATGCTCATGTGGTTCAGGCTGTTTAAGAAAACAGATCAAGAGTGCAGTAAAATTCTGCCAACAAGGAATGTGATTTTACTAGAAAATCATGCACTTATAGCAATGCCAATTCTGAAGCATGTGCACTGAACTTTACTTAACACCAAGGAAAAGGAATATCTATGCCATAGAATTCAAAGAGACTTTCAAAAAAATTATATAAACCTCTTTTATCTTTCATATGGAATAATCATGTCTTGCTATACAGTAAAATGGCAAGTTACCATGGCTTCATTATTCTCAAAGCCTAAAATCTTATATTTACCTCAAACACAAATTTAACAATGCATCACTGTAATTCCTCAAAGACAGTTATTTACAGAAAAGGCATTCCATTCACTGAGTTGAGAAGTATCAATATTTGTAGTGCTAAGGTTTTTTTTAGAAATGCACTATTTGGCAAATTTGACCATCTTTTTCAATTCTGTATGTAATAACTTCAACTCTTTTAATTTTAATGAGATTACTGTATAATCTCTGAGATTTATAATCTCTCATCTCTACAGGTGTACTATCAAGGGTAAATATCTCCCCATTTTAAGTAATACAAAGAGTATGATAATGCCTATAAATATGAAAAAAATCTCATAAGATATAATTTTCCTTGTATTTCAATATACTGGATCCAAATATTTATCCTAAAAATATCAGAAGAAAAGAAAAGTGATAGATACTAAGTTATATCACTCAGATGTATAGTATTTCTGAAACATTTAATATTTCCAAGAGACATTTCATTATTTCTGTTTCTGTAACCTCAAATATGTGGGAGTTAATTTAGCCACTCTTTAAAATAAAATTTGGAACAAGAGCCCCAAATATTCATTTATGATCATCATCTTAGAACTGGAATTACAATTAGAGTGGCTAGGTCATTCTGCTTCATCAGAAATTGTAACTAATTTTATGTTAAAAGATTAATATCTTGTTAAAGTAACTAGAAGCCAACATGCTAAGACAATACAAGTAGACAGGGGTATTCTGACACATACAGGCTTGCTTAACAAGCTTTCAGAGGTAAGGCCATGCCACTCCCCCAATACTGGGTGGGACTGGTGGTATTACTGTATCCATATATACCCATGGTCAGAAACACAATTACTCTCCACAGCATGATTCAACTAACTAGTATTTGTTGAGGGCCTATAATAGAGCATGCACTACAGTAGGCATACTGAGTGTTACTGAAGTGAACCAATAGTCACTCAACTCACTTTCAGTGACTGGCTACATCAGGCAGGCACTGTGCTGGGCGCTCAGGATTCAGAGGGAACCAGAAATTATTCCTGCCACTGCAGCTTACTATTTAGTGGGGACAGAGAAGACTTGCAAAAGGTGGTGACACATGAAGAGCTGAGCTGAGGGTGGTGGGTAATGGAATTATAGATGTAGGCCCCAGTTTGAGTAGAGTCAAACAGATAAGAAACAACCTGCTATGAACAGGAAAATACAAGCAGTGTGGAGAAATGTCAAGAGATTAGGCTGAGCCATGAGAGTCAAGATGAAACCACCTAGGGAGAGTAGAGGATGAGAAAAGCAGTCTGAGAACAAAACCCTGGAGATCACTGGTATTCAAGGGGCAAAAGACGAAGAGAAGCCCATGAATGAGACAGTTAAGTACCAGCCAGGAATATATAAGGAGAACCAGGAGAATAAAGTGGCCAAGGAAGTCTACGTTTACTTGCTGGCAAAACTTTTTTTATAATCAGAATTTGAATACCTTTAGGCAAAACATATACCATCTTCCACTTGAACTAAGGCCCCATCCTTACTCATGATGCACCATTTTCTGTGACCTGTCTTGCCTCTGAGTTCAGCCTGGTATGTTTGTGACCCCTGGAGTAGAAGCCTCCAACAGGGAGTCAAGCTAAGTGTCATGCAGTGGAGAAGACGAGAAAGATAGGGAATGAAAGTTCCCCACTAATTTAGCAACAAGAGGGTCATGGTGATCTTAATGGGGCCAGTTCCTCTATGGTCATGGTACCAGAATCAAGATTATAAAGCAGTGAAGAGTAAACAGAAATGGTGAATATAGGTATTCTTAAGAAATGTGGACAGGGAAAGAAGACTAGACAGTAACTAAAGGGGAATGTAGGTCTAGGAAGGCTTTGTTTTCCTTTTAAAGAATTAAGAGTATCTCTGACTATATTTACAGGCTGAGCCACTATAGAGGCAGAGAGAGGCAATATTAGACACAGGAGCTGCCCAAAGGAGGAAGTTGGAAAAAAAGGGTATGGAAGGCACAAAACTCTGGACAAGTGGAGGGACTCCTCATTGATCTCTGAGGTTGGAAGAAGAAAGCAACAAGAATTCAGACCTAATTAAGATGCAATGCAGGTTTTTCAGCAGGAAAGTGACATGATTAAACTGTTTTAAGAAAATCAGTTTGGCACAAGCATGCAGGAGATTGGAGTGGGGAGAGGTGGCAGACTGTGTCAACCATTCAAGCACGATGATGGCAACCCAAACTAGAGTGGTCCAGTAGAAATGGAGAAAATGAAAAATCTAATAAGACATTTCAAAAGGCATGATGACATAATTCTGGGACAGATTGGCACAGAACAATTCAAGAAGGAGGAATTAAAATGACTCAAGGATTTCAAAGATCAGAATGGTGTTATTAGGGTCAGAAATGGGGCAACTGGAATGCACAATGTGGTGAGGAAAAATATCAGGTTTAAGATATATTGAATTTGAGGTGATAATTCTCAAATTTTAAAACTCTGAAAAGAAACAAAGTCCTCAATAGAATAGATGACTGCTCAAAGAATGGAAAGAAAAAATAAGGGGTGGGAGAGAATAAGAACTATTTCATTTAGATAGGGCAACTCTAACACTCCTATGCCAGAAAAAAATGACACAGAAACTAGTATTTTAGATGTCTCAGAATCAGATTAACTATTTCCTAAGGATCTTACTTGACCTGCTATAAAAAAAGTCTTATTACCAAAGAAAGACCAGTTTCCCAGATCAGTTTCTTTTAATCATTTAATCTTTTTTCAAATCTCAGACATTTATTAACATCAAATGTGCTTTCTTGGTGAAAGAATGCATACAACCAAATAACTTTCCAAACTATATACATTGATTGGTAATTCAAGCACTGGTTTGCTGCTTTTCAGGTTTTGGCTTCAATTAATACCAACAGTTATTACCAGCACCCGTACTTCATATTCCTAATTCCAGAATATTTAAGCCAGGGACATTACACCTATCAATTGAAAATAGGTTAGTAAGTACTTCATGATGGTTATGAGAGAAGAGTAGAATGGAACCACAAATGAGTTTCAGGGAACTTAAATTGTTTCCTTGCTCTTCTGTTTTCTGAAGTTTAGAAAATAATGAGGGAGAAGAGTGTTGGAATATAAAATTATGGACTGGAATAAAAAATTTTCTTCTGTTCAATCATGTGACATAATCTGCATGAAAGTAAACTTTGTGCCAGAATCATAATTAGTTTGAATAAGAAACTGTCTCCCTTGTGATAAAAGGAATGGAAGTAAAACAGCACAGTAAGCTGGCATCCAAACATTGTAGGCTATCTGCAAAATTCTTGGACCAAAAAAAACTGGTGAAATTGCTTAACCACAGAGCAGGTCTAAAAATCTCCCCCAGCTCTTCCGTAATTTCAAAATCTTTCTAAATAGGTTCCATGGAAAGATCACAAAAGTGTATTACAATCAAAATACTCAGTATTTGCTAAAATCAAAAGCTAACATGGTGAGGGGAGGTGGTGCATATTATATGTAACTTTGAGATAATATGAGCTCAATTGAAAGTCAAAGGGGCCGGCCATAATCAAAATTAGAGGTGGCATAACTTGGTAGGGGAAAAAAGTTCTATTTTGAAAATGCAATGAAAGATAGCATAAGTCATGGGGATGAAAGTACAGCACAGAGAACATAGTAGTTCTGTACCATCTTCCTATGCTGACAGATAATAACTACACTAGTTGGGGTTAAGGATTTAATAATGTATATAATTGTTGAATCACTATGTTGTATACATTCTTGAAACCAATATAATACTGTGTATCAACTATACTTCAATTTTAATAAAAAGCATAGTTAAGAGGATGAACACAATACTCAAACTTCCAAGTATTTACAGTCCAAGCACATGAAAAGGAGAAAGCATTCTGCAAAGCCCAAAGAACCACTAAAATTTTGCTGTGCAACTACATGCTATGAGATCCCTCCCCCTTCTGTTTTCTCACATACAATGCAAGATTTCAATTTTTTTAAAAGTCACTCTGCATAAGTTTTCAAGAAATTATTCTCAGATCCTGGGGGACTAATTTACATATGTATTTAATGTTTGGATATACAAAATCTCCTGGAGGTATCTTAAATTATCTCAGGGGTGAAAAGCTTTAGATATAATGTATCCCAAACGCTCCATTTTTACAGATGGAGAAGTCAAAGCCCAGAAATAGGAAGTAACCTGACCAAGGTCATAGGGCCAGTAAGAAGCAAAGCTGGGGCTAAAATACAAGAGCCCTCACTCTTACTCCACTGCTTTTTCTACTTTTCATAGTTGTCTCTCAAGGTGAAACTAATTGTGTGATATTTAAGGAATGTCAGAGTGAGGAGTGATCAAGACATGGAAAGGATTATTGTATTCATTCACATAAGGATTAGACAGGAAAAAGGGATAGATGAATATGTGGGTGGGTGCATAGTCTACATTATTATTTACAAAACACATCATGTTTCTGTTTAGAAGAATCCAAACCTAGGTTTTGTCACATGTCACAACAGTCACTGTGTTCTACTAGACACCAATTTTAGAGAATCTCTGGTACATCCTGCAGTTTAAAGACTATTCACTTTCCAGCAAACACAGAAGCAGAGAGACTCACCCGTACTCCAATCCCCCTGGCTCCCAAATCCCTAACTTCTCTGCCCTAAACTGCCAATTTACCTGGTGTTGGTGCATCATAAATTGCATTTTCACTTCCTTTACACCTATTTCCCTCCGTTTCTCTACACCAGGTGTCCTTTCCTAACAGTATGCCTCAGGCAGCCCTCCCCAACTCCACAGGCCCCCTCGATCACCTTCTAAGTCATTTGTCGACAAATCTTAGCTTTTTCAAACCCCACGGCCCCCTCTCGCTTACACAGTGATGTGGCCGGCGCCCCGCACCAATACAGGGTCGGGGGCATATTTCCGTAGATGCTCTTCGCTCACTACCCGAGGCGGGGGCGGCGTCTCCTCCTCCTCTCTTTCTTCTACCTCCTCTTCTTCCTCCTCCTTCTCCTCATCTTCCTCGTCATCGTCAGGCCCCGATACAGTCGAAGACGACGACGGCGACGACGACGACGTTGCTGCTGCTTCTTCCTCCTCCTCCTCCTCCAATTCCGAGATGGTGTCGAACTCCGCCATGTTGGGCAGCAGGATGCTCATCACGTGATCTCTCGCTCACCGCCACCCTCTCGGAGGAGAGTTTGAACCTGCTGAGGGGCTGGAAAAGGAGGGGAAACGAAATGTAGAGAAAAAGGTGGGTGAGGGGTGTAGGAACAGGATTTGAGGAGATGCGCCTGCGTACTGGGGCACACGAGGAGTGGGGGCTGGAGGCGGGGGCACGAGGGAGAAAGGATCAAATCGGTGTACGCTTGCGCGGCTCTAAGAGAAGGGGGGCGTTAGAGATGAACTCCAGCGAGTTGCGGAGGTCCGCCCTACAGGGGCTGAGCTTGGTACTGCTTTTCGGCCTTCTGCTGCTTTCATCCTGCGGACGGATCTTCTGGTTTTATTTTGCTATTGATTAATAATGGGTATTATTACCCCTCATCCTCACCCCCTCGCTGCCCCCCGTCAGTTCAGAGAAAGCATATTCTGTAAAAGTTAGAACTTTGCCCCAGATATCTCAAGGTATACCAATCCCCAAGGTATATGCCAGACAAAAGGTTTGTTCAGCATTACAATTTAAAAGACTTTTGCATCGACAGTTTGCCACACCCTGGAACGCATTTTTATTAATATTTTACCGAAGAGGAAACTTTTTATTACTACTACTTCTACTCCTTAGAGGAATACTAAGTGTCAGAGACTGTGTTGTGTTGTATGTGCATATCTCATTTAATTCTTCACAACCTTATATGTAACATGATGATCTCATTTTACAGACTAGAAACATAGGTGCAGAGAAGATAATTTGCCCAAGGTCATAGAGTTACTAAATGGCAGACCTGGTTTTAAATTTGGGGGTCTTTTGCTTCTAAAGGTCCAGTATTCTTAACGGAAGTGCTATACGGCCTGAAGTTATTAGTAGACTTTGTTAGAATGGTGCCTTTTGGGTTGTTTTCTGAAAGGTGTTTGCATTTTGTAGGTTTTTATTTGGGGTGGGGAGTAGAACAGAGGGAGTGGAGGGAACATTCCAACCTAAGGAACATTAATTAACATTATCCATTTTCCAGACACTGAACTAGACTTTCTCACGTACAATATCTCAGTTAACCCTTAAACAATCCTGTGAAGTAAGCATTGTCATATATCTTTTATTGACTTAGTTTTTATAAAACTGAGTATCAGGAAGTTTAATTTATTAAGGTCTATGGTAATGTTTTGTCCAAAGTTTTCGATTTCAAATATTCTGTTTTCTCCATACCCACTAAAATGTTGGAGAGATCACATATTTTGAGTTTCCCATTCAAGTTTTAAACTATTTCATTCTTAGCAACAGCACAAAAATCCATGTCATAATTCAGGGCTCATTAAGACAGTAAGTAAAGTCACACAGCTGCTTGGTAATGAAACAAATTCTGCAATCCAGGTATTCTAATATGAGCTTCACTGCTCCTTCTGCTGCACTACAGCTGCATCCTAATTAGTTGGTGAGATTGGGGAAACAGACATAGCCACATTTTAGGATGAGCATTACATTAGGAGTACAGCAGTATAAACAAAGCATTTAGGATGTATGAGGGAAAAGATATTAGTTCTACTAGAGGTATTGATCCATCATCATTCAAGGAGTTTGTGTTATTAAAATGAAAAAATTTTTGTTGTACTCAAAAGCTTATTTTTCAGAAATAGTTTACAACACTATGACTAAGCAACAAAGTCTAATTTTTTATACTATAGAGAAAGTTACTAGCCAAAAATGATAAAGATTGAATCTTAAAATATTTTATAATAGCCTCTGGCAAGACACATAGCTTCTTTTCTTGGGTGTTCATAAATAATGCCATACATCATTTAGGGGAATGAAATACCTTACACTTAAGGTCAAATCAGTATTCTGCACCAGTTCATCTCTTTCAAAAAACAAAAAAGCCATAGGTGATGCTAAACAATTTTCAAACATATTATCTGTAATGTCCACTAGGTCAGTGTGTAGAAAGGGAAGTATTTTGCTGATCACTGCTTAAATGGCAGTTTTCTCCTTTTCACCAGTTGGGGTTAGGCTAGGAAGGGATATTTGAAGGAGAAAAAGGGAAAAGAGTATAAGGGGTGATTAGTGCAAATGAGGTAGTGTGAAGAAATGATGGCTGTGGATAGGAAGGGAGGAGAGGGAGAGGGAAATTCTATTGTCAAAATGGAAAGAGGTACCTGACATTTAGTCAGAAGTCAAAAAGACAAAGCAGTTCAGGGAAGTGCTGTGGTTGTTGAAACTCCCAAGTGTAGTCAAATCTGCTTATCTGTTTTCTTAGGTATACAGAGTGTGCTGAAAAGGCACATATAATTCCAAAGTTAATTTGTTTTGCTGAAATATAGGAGAATTTGGAAATGGACAAACCAAGAAAAACACATTTTGGCAGTAAACACAAGAAACGGCATGATTTTTAAATGATACTTAAGCAACCATCAAGAATAATAAAGCGGAGTGGTGGGAGAAGAAAGCAGGCCGTGTAACTTTCTGTCTGTAGTGCTAAGCAGGGCATAGGGGTAATTCTTCCATCTGATGGTTGGGGACCTGAGGCAAGAGGTTACAGGTTTAACCATCTTATGAGGGGGTTTCAAACTTGAAACAGCTGAAAAGAAGGGTAATGTTTAAAGGACACCTTCCTGTATTTATTCATCTATTTAAGCATATGATACAGTGATTTTAGTAAATTTACAGAGTTGTGCAAACTATCATCACAAACTTATTTTAGAACATTCTGTCACCACTAAAAGAAATCACTGTCCCATTTTCAGTCATTCCCTATTCTTACCCCTAGGCCCAGGCAACAATTCATTTACTTTCTGTCTCTGTAGATTTCTTCTCTGGACATTTAAATAAATTGTATCATATAATATGTGGTCTTTCCTGTCTATCTTCTGCTTAGTATAATGTTTTTGAGATTTGTCCATGTTGTGTCTGTGAGTACTTTGTTCCTTTTAATTAATAGTATGCCATTATGAGGATATATTTTGTTTAATCCAGTCACCAATTAATAACATTTGTATTGCCTTTACCTTCTGAATATTATGAAATATATTTGTGTGAACATATGTTTTAATTTCTTTTGGGTGGATACCAATGAGTGGAGTTGCTGGGTCATATGGTAAGACTATGTTGAATTTAAGAAAACTGCCAAACTTTTCCAAAGTGGCTTACTCAGTTTACATTCACACAAGCAAAATATATAAGGGTTCCATTTTTCTCCATATCTTCTCCATCATTTTCTATCTGATTATAGCTATTTTTGTGGGTATGCAGTACTATCACACTGTAGGTTTACTTTGCATTTTCCTAATCACTAATGTTGAGCATCTTTTCATGTGCTTTTTGACCATTTGTATACCTTCTTTGATGAAATGTCTATTCAAATATTTTGCCCCAATTATTAAATTAAGCTCTTTTTCAAAATCACTGGAGATTTATAATAGTTGTAGAAAATAATGCAGAGACATCTTGTTTACCCTTTACTTAGTACCCACCAATGGTTACATCTTGCAAAACTATAGTACACTATGGAAGCCATGAAATTGATATTGATGCAATCCACCTATCTGTCAGATTTCCAGAGTCGTACGTGTACTCATTTGTGTGTGTGCGTGTACATGTGAATTTAGTTACATGCAATTTTATCACAGCTGTAGGTTCTTATGACCACCACCATAGTCAAGATATAAAAGAGTTACATCACCACAAGGATCCCTCGTTACCCTTTTTTAACCATCCGCCCAGCAACCATTAAACTGTTTACCATCTACAAATGTTGTAATACAGATTATGTAAATTGTATCATACAGTACAAACCTTTGGCCTTTTTGACCCAGCATACTTCTGAGAATCATCTAAGTTATTGGGTATATCAATGGTTCATTCCTTTTTATTGTTGTGTAGTATTCCACAATAAAGATATACTGCTCTTTGTTTAGCTACTCACCCACAGAAAGACATTTGTTTTTATTTCTTTCCAGATTTTGGCTATTGTGAATAAAATCACTATGAACATTTGTGTACAGATTTTTTGCCCTTGAAAAATTGAGTTGTCTACTTATTATTGAGTTATAAAATCCTCTGTATGTATTCTTGCAAGAAGTCTTTTATCAGACATATGGTGTACAAATGTTGTCTCCTAGTCTATGGCTTGTTTTTCCAAGTTGTTAATGGTGTCTTTTGAACTGAAAAAAATTTCAATTTGTTTAAATGGAAGTATCGTTGATATACAATCTTATATTGGTTTCATATATACAGCACAGTGAATCAACAGTTATCCATATTATTAAATCATACCCCCAACTAGTGCAGTTACTATCTGTCAACATGGGAAGATGTTACAGAATCATTGACTATATTCTCCATGCTGTATTACTATCTCTGTGACCAACTTATATTATGATTGAGAATTGTTGTGCCCCTTTATTCCCCTCACCCTCCCCACCCACCCACTTAACACAACATGGTAACCATCACTCACTTCTCATGGTCTATGAGCCTACTGCTATTTTGTTTTACTTTGTTTTTATATTCCAAAAATAAGTGAAATCTTATGGCATTTGTCCTTTGCTGCCTGGCTTTTTTTCCTAATTATAATACCTTCTAGATCCATCCATGTTGTTGCAAATGGCAAGATTGCTCTTCTTATTATAGCTGAATAATATTCCATTGTGTGTATGTAGAACACCCTCTTTGTCCGTTAATCTATTGATAGACACTTAGGTTGCTTCCATATATTGGCTATTGCATATAATGCGGCAATAAACATAGGGGTGCATATATCTTTCAAATCAAGGATTTTGTTTCCTTGGTTAAATTCCTAGAAGTGAAATTATTGGGTCAAATGGAATTTCTTTTTTTTAAATTAAGGTATCATTTATGTATAATCTTACGAAGGTTTCACATGAACAACATTGTGGTTACTACAATCACCCATATTATCAAGTCCCCCACCACTCCCCATTGCAGTCACTGCCCATCAGTGTAGTAAGATGCTATAGAGTCACTACTTGTCTTCTCTGTGCTATACTGCCTTCCTCGTGACCCCCCTATATTATGTGTTAATCATAACTCCTTTTAATCCCCTTCTCCCTCCCTCCCCACCCACCCTCCTCATCTCCTTCCCTTTGATAACTGACGGTCTTTTCTTGGAGTCTGGAATTTCTATTTTTAGTTTTTTGAGGAACCTTCATACTGCTCTCCATAGTGGATG